TGGAGGGCCAGTGTCCTGCAGAGTTTAGCTCCAACTTGCCTCAACACACCTGACTGGAAGTTTCTATGCCTAGTAAGAGCTTGATTCGCTGGTTCAGGTGTGTTTAATTAGGGTTGGAGCTAAACTCTGCAGGACACCGTCCCTCCAGGACCGAGTTTGGACAGCCCTGAGCTAGAGACCCTGGAGTCAAAAAGGTTTGAGAAGCACTGCACTAGAGGACTGGATGGCGTTAGTGAACACCGGGTGTCGCTGTATCTCTCAGTGAACACTAGAGGTCGCTGTATTTCTCTGCGCTGTGGCGTATGGTAATGACTCTTCACTCGCTCTACGGAATTCTTATATCAATCATCTCCAGCTGCAGAGAACAAACACATCAACACCTCTTACAGCACAACATTACAAACGGGTAAGATTAAATACGTGTCAACCACTGGGTTTTAAGATAATGTATGCCTAGCAGGGGATATTTGACCGAACAAGCTGCCATTTTACACAATACATCAAAAGCTTCGCTACGCTAGAGGAGTTTGGGAATAATATTTTGTTTGTTTTATGTCAGTCGTTTACTTGGCATTAATGTGCCATGAGCGACACTTTACCAGGGACCTGAAGCTAAACAGCTTTGGAATTGTCTTAAAAACATTCATTCAGTTTTTTTGTTTTTCATAGTGGTTTAATGCAAAAGTAGAGAAATGTGACTCACTTTTACCTTACATTTTCTCTGTTTTGACCCCTATGGAAACATAAGGAAAGCTTACGAAATGCCTGAAGTCGGAGCTCGAATTGAGGGGGATGCGTGCCCCTGGTGGGAAAAAAATTACAAAAAGCATTCCCTCTGTGAAACCACCATCCCCCCTAACCATCCCCTTTAGATTAATAATGTTGTGTATTATGTAAAACTTTTCGTGCAAATTAAATGTTAAAATTCTCTACTTATGATAATTCACGAACTATATAACGGAGATTGGCCAATCAGATTTCTGTACTGTAACAAGCTGCTTACAAGATGAAGCAAATTCACGTAATTTTTCGCGCAAAATGGTTCAGCAAAATGGTTCAAGCGCAACTTTTAAAGTTCTTTAAAAAGAAGACAACAGAAGGTATTATTTTTTTCCCTTGATTAATTTAAAGACATTCCCCTGACATAATGTCGTTGTGCTGTTGCTGTATTTTGTGACTGAGGGACTGAGAGATGATAGGAGAGCTAGCATTATCTAGGCCAGGGGTAGGCAAGTTCGGTCCTAGAGAGCCGCAGTCCTGCAGAGTTCAGCTCCAATCCTGAAAACAAAACAAACCTGCCTATAGCCTTAGTAATCCTGAAGACATTGATTAGCTTGTTCAGGTGTGTTTGATTAGAGTTGGAGCTGAACTCTGCAGGACTGGACCGAACTTGCCTACCCCTGATCTAGACTATGTCACCGACTTTGCTAAAACCAAACAAAAACACGTCTTGAGAGTCCAAAAGCATTCACTGCGCGATGAAGCCCATTAGAATGCCCTTATAATTCAAGCAATGAAAGTAAAAATACCCATGTATGAGTTTTTATGTTTTTATATTCATTACACAAGCAATGTAGCCTACTTTTCTGAACATCAGTACGTGTGCGCGAGCATAAATATGCTAATAATTTTATACAACAGTGTAGAGCAACAGGGTGTTTCATTCCTTGAATGAATGTTTTTGAAAAATCAAGTGAGCCAGTGATTCAGCGGTCCATTCACATATTTCTTTTCTAATTGAATCTGCCGTTTTGAACGAATCGTTTGATTTGTATGATTCAATAAACCATTTATTAAAACAGGGACCTGCTGCCACCTACTGGCGGTTTTATTGTCATCTTTATTGGCCGCTCGACTGAGTTCGAGATTAAAACTGCTGGTGCTGCGGGTCTGCAGCTGGATACTATTGACCGCACGTCAACGTCGCCGCCATATTGCTCCGGG